ACCCCCCCCACCCCGCCAACATCCCACCACCCCCCTGCCACCGTTTTCACCAAACCACCGTTGTCTGATACCCATCGGATGCTATTATGTGGCTGCTGACGTTGACCAGTTGTTAACCATAGAACACCATCGTCGCTTCCTAATCACCACCGACTAACTGTTGGACTGTCGACGCCACCATCGTTGCTTCCTAATCACCACCGTTGTTGACGCCACCACAATTTGGTCATATCTGTTGCGACCACCATTGTTGTCGCTAGACTGCTACCGTCAGGATGCCACCATTTCCCCTGTCGACGCCACCATCGTTGCTTCCTAATCACCACTGCTGTCGACGCCACCACTATTTGGTCATATCTGTCGCGACCACCATTGTTGTCGCTAGACTGCTACTGTCAGGATGCCACCATTTCCCCTGACATATTACGCCACTCCCCTAAAGAAATTCATGTCACTTGTGTAATATTTCTCCCAATTATTTAAGGGCCATCAAAATCTTATAACTTATAATAACATAGGGAAATCATTTCAACTAGTTTAGAGTCCGTGATTTTTCTTCCGAGTTTTCTATGTAAAAACTCTTTTTGTATCCTCTTTCATATTATTTCCATCAGTTTGTATTAGATTATGTTGACCTCATTTTTGGTGAAGTCTAAATGCTTTATCTAAAATTTAGGATATAACCATAAGACTTTCTTACTGACTATCCTAGATGACTAATAATGGGACCTACCCCACTAAGAATTTCGAACCACTCCTTCACTCCCCTTAAATCTCATATGTGTGGTTTCAAATCCTCAATATCTAGATGTGTCGATTGAAACCAACATTTTGAAATTTAAGGCGGGTTCTTACAAGGATTAAGAGTGCTCCAAGGAGGCCTTTTGGACTTAGGAACTTTCGTTCTTCGATGCACCACAATTTGCATAATACACACATAAACAACATAATCCACATATATTCCACTACCTAAGATCAAATTCAAATTTAAAAATAAAATGAAAACCTTTATAATACAAATTTGAGACCCTTCGGCACGGGTTGACAACCTATTGTCGAGAGCATGGTTGTCGCTTAGGCAAGGATCGGTTGACATTTCACTTGTCGAACGACTCCGATTAACTTGACGGATCACATTTGCACGCAATGCACGAATCAACTCAAATTGACCCCATCTTCGATAAATTTGTCTAGATGATTCTGGGTGACGAAACAAACTGCACGAGTGCGTCTGAAAGGTCGATTTTACATGGGTAGAACACTAATATTATCATAATTTCGTACATGAATAAATGATACGTCGTATAACATAAACAAACGAAAGAACCTATTATCATAATTTCGTACATGAATAAATGATACGTAAATTGGGCATATAACATAAACAAAAGAAAGAACTAACGAAAGAACCTAATTAAAAAAAAAGAAAAAAAAAGAAAAAAAATAGAAATATCCTTTAAAAGGGCTCACGCCACCCCTCACAACGGCTCTAGCCGCACTCCCCTCACCCGTTCGATCGAGAGCCCTAGCCGTTATCCCCGATTCAGTCCTTTGAGACGAAGCCCTAGCCTCTCCTCTCTAGCTCACGAGACCGAGAACTTCTCCTTTCTTCTCCTCCTTTCGCGACCTCACGTTCCTCCCCGCCGGCGAGGTCCTTCTTCTCTTCGTCTTGCGGGAGAGCCGGTTAGGGGGGCAAAGAAGGGTTTTGGCTTTTGCTTGTTTCCTCGGTTGCGTCGTTTGTTTGCTTGATTTTCTTGCTCGATCTCCCTGATTTCTTGCTGGTTCACTCGATTTTACTACTAGTTAAAATTACGGAGATTATAACTTTTTTTATATAAGAGGCCAGAAAGGGGTTCGAGTTTTTTTTTTTATTAAAATTTATTATGGTAATGTTTTATGGCAAGTATTCTTGGGTCCATGTTTAAGTAACTTAAGTATCATCGTAATATCAATAATTCACACTTAATATGTACCATATATTTTTAATTAAATAGATCTCCATGAATTATAAGCTTTTTGTTTTGTGTTGCAGATATGTGGGGCACGAGGAAGGAGGGCAACTCACCGAGGCGGTGCGGAGGAGATCATATGGTCTGATGCTCTTTGATGTAGTGGAGAAGACACATGTCTATCTTCAACACTTTGCTTCAAGTGTTCAATGATAGTCGACTCACATATTGTCAAGGAAAGACTGTGGATTTCTGTAACACGGTCATTATCATTAATTCAAACTTTGGTGCTGAGCATCTTCTCGCTGACATGTTTAGCAATTGTTCAATGAAAATGACCAATGATCGTGTGATGAATGATGTATATATTTGCATACACACAATTCTAATGTATTTAAATATCTTACATGTCTTATAACTAGATTTCTCTATTTTTACAGATAACACTCAAATCTTTAGTTTCACATTAAAAAATGCATTAAATTCATTTTTAAATGTGAAATATATTTTTACATGCATAACTTTATAATATCAATTGTTTTGTATGTAAATAATAAAGTTTAAATCTGAGATATATAATTATATAAGAATTGTGAAAATTGTGTTTTGTATCTAAGTGTACTGGAGGTATATTATTTACATTTTATAGCGCACAATTCTTATGAGTGTACAAATCTTGCACTTAAATCTTCATATTTAAAAATATCACTCAGATTGTATTGTCACATCAAAGATTGAACTTTTACCATTTTCTACAAGTAAATACATTTATTCATGCAAAAATTTAAAACACTAAAATTAATATGAAAGTTTAAGCGTGAGATATATAAATACATCAGATTATTTGAAGTATTGTGTATTGTTTGATTATAAAATGTGTTGAATTTTTCATTTTAATTTTGAAGTAAGGAGGAGTTTCAGGCATGAACTGCCCAATAGATTTGATGAGATTGTAATATTTGATTCATTGTCTCATGATCAATTAAGAAAGTTGGTGAGACTTCAAATTGAAAGATGTAGTTGTTCGTTTGACTGAAAGAGGAAGTGCGTTGTGGTTAACAGATTCCTATTGATGTTGTCTTATCTGGATCTTATAACTCTGTATGTAATTCCCTTTGAACTCATTCATTATTTTGTTTTTCTCAAACTTAAAGAAAAAAAAAATTTCATATCATGTTCTGTTAAAATCATTTGCTAATTTTTTTTTTGTATAATTTTAATATAGTTTTATTTTGATATTATTATTATTTTGTTGGGGCATTTTGATATATAAAACTCCAAATATTACAATTTATAAATTTTGGACCTTATTTTTTCTATTTTTTTGAATTCTCGCTTATATCAAAATTCATGATAAACCTCAAGTCAATATTTTTCATTTTTACCAGATTTTTAATAATTGAATCATGAAGTGCAAATACTAATTTTATAAATAATAATGTTTTGAGTGTTGTGTATGTAATTATACATATTTTTTGTATTAAATCATGTGCTAAATTTAATTTTGCATAATTTTATATTATTTAATCTTTTTATTATTATTATTATTTATTATAACTCATAATATTATAATTTTAGGGTTTATAAGAAATATTATTTAGTATAATATATTGTTATAACTTTTGTATATTTATTTTAAAATTTAGTTGTATTATTTAACAGTTTGTATTGAGTGATATGGTATATAATTTGAAATCAAAACTGAATAATAAAATTAACAGTTTTTTAATATAAAATATAGGAAGATTTACATACATCACTCAATTTTTATGTATTTACATATGTAGCAACTAAGTTTTACATTCATGTATATGATGGTAATTATGTGAAAAATTGACATTTAAGTGTTGGACATGTAAATACATAAGAATTGAGTGGTATATATGTAAATCTTTCTGTATTTTATATTAAAAAGATGCTAATTTTATTATTCAGCTTTGATTTCAAGTTATATGTCATATCACTCAATACAGACTACTAAATAATACAACTAAATTTAAATATAAATATATTAAAGTGATAAGAATATATTATACTACTAAATAATACTTCATATAGACTCTAAAATTATATTATTAGAAATAATAATAATATTATTAGAAATAATAATAATAATAATAATAATAATAATAATAATAATAATAATAAAAGGATCAAACAACATAAAATTATGCAAAAATAAATTTAGCACATTATTTAATACAAAAGAATATGTATGATTACATACACAACGCTCAAAATATTATTATTTACAAAATTAGTACATGCATTTCATGATCAAATCATTGAAAATTTGATAAAAATGAAAATATTGGTTTGGTGTTTATCATGGATTTTGATTTTAACAAGAATAAAAAAAAATAGATGAAAAAAAATACAAGATTTGTAAATAACAATAGTTGAAGTGTTATGTATCAAAATGCTCTAAAATAATAATAATAATAATATGAGAATCAAACTATATTAAATTATGCAAAAAAAAGATATTAGCAAATAACTTTAACATAAGATAATATGAAATTTTTTTTTTCAAGTTTGAGAAAAACAAAATGATGAATGAGTTGAAAGAGAATCACTTACAGAGTCATAAGATTTTGATAGCATAATATCAAGAAGCATCTGTTAACCCCAACACAATTCTTCTTTCAGCCAAACGAACAATTACATTTTTCATCTGAAGTCTCGTCACCTTCCTCAATTGATCATTAGAAAATAGATCAAATATTACAATCTCATCCAATTTATGGAACACCTCAGACCTAAAATGTCTCATCACCTAAAAATTAAAATTAGAAATTCAACACATTTTATAATCAAACAATACACAATACCTCAAATAATCTGATGTATTTACATATCTTACGCTTAAACTTATACATGAATAAATGTATTGACTTTTAGAAAATATTAAAAGTGTAATCTTTGATGCGATAATACAATTTGAGTGATATATTTTTAAATATGAAAATTTAGGCGCAAGATTTATACTTTCATAAGAATTGTGCGCTATAAAATGTAAATAATATATCTCTAGTATACTTAAATAAATAACAAACTGTTATTTTGACCTCCAATTAATGAACTAAA